AGAAAATACGATGTTAGTACCTGGGCTCTTTTTTTGGTTTTAGTGACCAGAAGATATATTAGCATTGAGAAGGGGTGCTCTTATAGCAGCAGACGTGACTGCTTGCTGGAGTATTTTGTAACGCATTTCTTTCTGGGTTTGATCTGGGTGAATGTTTTAAATGTCTCACTGATCCAAGCGTAATCGCAACAATATTTCCCCTTATGCAGCAAGGGAAAGGATTTTGTTGCAATTTGAAAATATTTTCTGTAAATGATTGGAATATAGTAAGATGAGATACTTCTTAAGGACTAAAACATGATTACTTCAAAAGCCACAAAGTAGCTTTGCACTACCGGTTTTTAAAGCTCAGCAAATTTTATGTAGTACATGAATTATTAATGGAGATAAATTGGAAGAAGAAGCTCCGTTGTTTTATCAGCCTCAAGCAAGCAGTAGTTGGTTGACTTTGCAGAGAAAGGCAGCTCTTTCTGAAGCAATGAGTGAACAGGTCCTTGGTGAGGAACCCTACAGGGAAAATGGCTTGTGTCAGTATGCCCAGAAGATGACTGCCTGTTTTGGACATTTAGGTAAAGAAATTAAAGATGTTGATGTGGATTTTTTGGTCTCCGTTATGTGGATGAAGTGTTTCCTCAAGCTTACAGTAAATAGCTGAGTGTTTTCTATGTCAACCTGCAGTCTTGAGTAAGTAAACTGTGTCAGGTGAAAAACCTGCATCTATGGAGTCATTTTACCACAAGTAGAAAGCTTTTGGTTTGGGGGGTGTGTGTGTGAACTTGAATGTTAGAATGATTTTTTGCTCTCTCTTGCTGTTTTAGTTACTTTATTGCTTGGATAACTCTATTTCTTGGTATAAATAGACATAGCGCTTGCTCATTTTTCATTTATGTGAAGGCCCTTTTTTTTCCCCCTTCCTACTCTCAAAATCTTAGAGATATATGGGAGAAGATAATCCTGTTGCCTTGGACAGATGCATGAAACATTATTTGACACTATGTACCTGTGCAAAAAATGTGGCTATGAGGGAAAAGGAAATTGTCTTTTTGTTTTACCTTGTTCTGTGTGGTTTTATTTTGCCTTTTCTTTACAGCTAGGTTTTGCTGAACTAGTATGATTGACTTTAATTTCTTGGTTTTTTGGTTGGAGTTTTTGTTGCTTTTAATACAGGAATAAATCCACACTGAAATGTGTTTGCAGGAAGTTGAATTCTGATGGCAGAAGCAATTAAAGACAGCATTAGTGCACTACACATTTCTGCCTTTTATTTAGCTGAAGGTGTTGCTCGAGAGGATGGAGGGATATTTCTTCTACAATTATTTTAACCCTTGGTGTCTTGCTATTATTCAGTGCCTGCTGTTCTGTTGTGCAATTTATTTGTGGATTGCAGTAAAAATTTGTTACTTCTGTTCTAGTAGCATTAGTCCAGAAGCCTCTATTCCTTCTTGGATATGAAACACATATGTGTATTTATCATCCAGGTAGCTGGTTGGTTTGGTGAATTCAGAGGAGATTGAATAGGAAATGGTCTTGAGATGCCTGAAAATATTTATAAATAAAATATTTATAAAGTTGGTAATGAGATAAAATATTTAAAATAGTGAGTCTGCCTAATTCCTGTCTAATATCCAGTCCCTTGTGAAAACTGTCAGTCTGGAAAGTGCGTGTACCTCACACTGTTCTGTGAAGGCTCAAGCCCCCGGCACTGAATACTTGGGTTAGGCACAGCTTGGAATTGGCAGCGATTTTAAAATATTTTGCTACTTGGCAGATACTGAGGAAACTTCCTCAACACTGCTTCTGGCTTGGGCACCCTGGATTCCTGAGAACATCTTGCAAGAAACATAAGAACAGGGTGGTGCCCCTGTGTTTTCTGCCTTTTTCTTTTCTCTTCGGCAAGGATATTAGAAATCAATATTTCCACTTAGCTGAGTGCTTGACTTAAGTGCTAAGGGATTGCCACTGTCGTCTTGATTCTAGCTAAGGCAAAATCCCAATGCTTGGTAACAGTGTGTTGTACAAGGCTGTCTCAGGTCTTGTCCCTTACTTTGGACACAAGGATCTGACCCTCAGAGCCAACTGCTCCAAACTGTCCTGTTTGACTGTTCTCAGTCTGACTCAGGAACCCACTGTGATGCTTCCTGGTCTTGTTTTGCTCACTTTTACTTCTTTTCCTCTTATATTACATATTAACAGGATGAAGGCTCTTAAAGACAGATGCTGTACTTAAAAAAACACTAACAAAAAGTCATATTGCTTTGTGTTATAAGCAGCAGCTAGTATGTGATCTTTGAGACTGTAGTTACCAGACAATGACAGCAATAGCCAGGGCTGGAAAGGGGCATCATTAGAGTAGTCTGTCTCAGAGGAAGGAGGACCTTATTTTAATTAAACAGGATGCTTCTACAGTGACATGTTAAGGTCACAAAATGCTAGTCTAAACTGATTTGTTCCCATGGTCTCCCACCAATCTGACATGTCTTGGAAGGCGACTGGATTGCACTTCACTATTTGAAATAACATTGGACCCTTCTATAATGGTCACAGGCTGACTGCTTCTTTAGTGAAGATACTGCGGAAAAAGGGCAGGGGTCTGTGCTGCTGCCCATGCTGTTGCTGGAGTTGGTGTACCTGCAGAAGTCGTTCCTGCCGGGTGCAGGGACAGATCCCAGCATGGGTGAAAGTGGGTTCAGCCTGTTGTGCTTTCGCTCAGCCCCTTCACCTGTATCACAAGAGTTGCAACTCTTCTGAGTGAACTTCAATTTAAAAGAATCCATAGAGGCTTTGTACAGCTTACATGGTGTTTGGTCATGTGGGAGAAGACTGCAGTTTCTTCTGGCTATTGCTACAGAAGAGATGATACTAGTAACTGGTGTAACGGCTGTGTAGGTGAATATAGCCGGAAGGCTGGAATCAGCATGGTTACAACAGAAAACTGAGAGTTACTCTTAAACCAGTGCATCCATACTCTAATGAAGGACAAGTTTTCTTCTAGAATTTAGGCGGCAACCTGTAGCAGATGTTGCAACAGTTTAAAAAATTACTGCAGAGCTCACCTTTCTGCTTTCTGAGGATTAACTTCTGCAGCATAACTAATGTCAGGGCAATGTGTGGTTTTGCCTCACCCACCTCAGTGGCCAAAGTCCACCTTGACATGTTGGTGGGGCTGGGTGGTTGGCGCGGCTGTGATCAGATGTCAACATCCTTCACCGATTATCTAGCGACAATGATAACTCTTATACTAAGCCAAGAGATGCTTGTTTTAGAGTGCATCCAGTCATCTCCTATGAGTCATTCCTCTGCTTTAAGGACAGAATGGTGATCCACCTTCAGCTGAAGTGGTGGAAGTTTTGGAATTTCAAAAGAACTGTCTTTTCCACTGAGTAGCTGTGGTGTGCAGGTCAGTAGGTTTAGAAGTCTGGGAGAGATTGAAAAATTTCTGCAAAGCTTCATTTCCTGGGGGAATACTTAAAACACAGCATTTAGAAGATACTCTAAGACAGAATTCAAACTGCTGTATTTATCGAGCCAGATCTCCCTCAGATTAGCATCACACCATTAAAATCAGTACAGTTGTGCAGATTTTTTCTGGCTTTGTCCCACTGTGTCCATGATTGATTATAAAACCCAGGAGAATGGCTGTTTAAGGGGAACTGTGATTTTGGTCTTGTTTTCAACATAACGTAGAAGTCATACGTATTGAAAAATAAAAAGCAATTCACCTCATAGGAGGTGTGTAATAATAGATGATCAAAGTCTGGATTTGTGAGATTATATTTTCTTTTTAAAATAGTAAAGCAGGCTTCACTTCAAAGCGTGTCCCCACAGTAGACAGTACTTGAACTCTGGGTTTTGAGGAAAGAATTGAACGACAGTTTCTCACTGTGCTCAGTAAGCCTATTGGTGTTTTTTTCCACCTTCTGATTTAACAAAAGCCTTCCTGGAAGCGGTGCAATTATTACACCAGGTCATTTTGCAGCTACAGCTAAATTCTGTATGTTAAGGGGAATTGAAAGCCTGGGCCAAACACTGTGGGAGTTTGGCTGAGTAAAGAATCTGAAGTTGTGTCTGAGCAGGTCCTGGTCTGGCGTCTACGTGTAACTTTCTTTTATATATGATAAATGTTGGTTTAGGTTGGGTTTGTTTGGCTTTTTTTTTTTTTCATCTTTCACTTTGGAATTTCCTGTGACTTTCCAGTGCCCCGTTGATGATTAACTCTGCCTTTACCCAGGGAGAAATATTCATTAGATGATTAGATTAGCAAGTCACTGGAATTGGATTAATGTAAATACTTCTTGTAAGCAAAGCTGGAAGGGTTGGCACAGTATCTGCAAAGCTTCTCCTGTCAGCCGCACAGGAAGGTGGGGCGGAAGAGCACAAGCGAACCAATCCTTAATAGTTAGGGAAAGCTTAAGTGCTTTTGTTTGGAATAGGCAGTGAAAGCTGCAGAAAGGATTTCTCCAAAGAAATCTGCTTCCGAAGCAGTGCTAGCCAGCCTTTGTGCATTCCTCAAAAAGGAGGACCAACATGCTCTACCTTTACTGTCACCTTTTTGCCATAGCACATGTACAGACCTGGCATGGAACAGGAGCATGGTAGATTAAATGCACAAAGGTGCATTTGTAGCTTATGATGATGATTCTTCCGTAATAAGATTTTTGACACAGCAAGGTTTTTTGATTTTTAAACTAATCCTCTTATATAACTCAGTTACATTCTTTCTCTTGTCCTGAATATTAATTTGATTTTCAGATACTCTTTAAGCTTTGGCTTCCAATTTTTGCATTCCCAGGGAATGAGTTACAACTAATTACAGTAGTTTTAAATGTCAGTCACCTGATCGAGCATACTGTCATAATCTCTTGAAGATAATCACTAAAAATATATCTTCCTTAATCTCCTTTGCTGGATAAGCGAAAAAGAGAAGGTTTGGTGAGGGCACTGTGCCGCGAGTAGTAGACTGACTACATGCACTACAGGTTGCTTTCCTGTATAGAATAGAAATGCCATCTTTCCCCATCTTAAACAGCTTTAGGAAGCTGTGTGGATCAAGTAAGACTGAAGAATTGGTGCTAGAAAAGGTGACACTCCAAAATTCAGTCAAAAAGACATCAGTCACTGAGGATGAAGATATTGCAGAGGTCTTGTATCTCATTCCTAAACAGAGCTTGCTGAAGCAACTGCCCTACTTGAATCCAGATGACTACTACTTATGCGAGCAGTTATTTGACTCTTCTGAGGATCTGGGTAAGTGAGGACTGCCATCAAATCTTGACTTTTGGTTGGTGAATAGGTTAAATTGCTTTTTAGTTAAGTTTATTTTTTGCATAGCAGCAAGACGCTGTGTGACAGCAAGTGTGCTCTGCCATGGAGAAGTATTTTATCACTGACAGAGAAGGAGGGAAAGAAGAAAATTAGCCCAAAGAAGGCAAATTAGAATCTGAATAGTCAAAAAGTAGTTGATGGGTATAGGTGCAGCTCCTTCTCTGCGGCTGTCCTGGGACAAAGGGGACCTTAATCTGCAGAAGTACTCAAGCTAGAAAAATAGCTTTTGAAAGCACAACATCCTGTGGTAGTGTGTTCCAGAGCTTTCCTATGGGTTTTACACAACTATATTCCCTTTTGTTTGTTTTAAACCTATTGCCAAATAGTTTCATTTGAAGCTGCGTCATTTTTGAATTGAAGAGGTGATTAAAAATCTTTCTGTGTTCACCACCTTCTTGTCACATATGACTTTATTAGAATTCTGTTTTGTCTTTTATCCAGGATCCTTCTTCTCCAGGATAAGCAGTCATAATTTGTCTAGATGCTCTTTGTGCAGAAGACAGTCCATCCATGCCTTTGATTATCCTTTCTACCTTTATTTTTCTAACTCTGCTATAAACCTTGAAAAATTGAGGAATAAAACTGTACTCAACATGTCATAATGTGGGTATATGTAGAGAGGCACAACAGTGCTCTTTGTTCCTCCCAATAGTTCCTAAAATTTTATTTGTTTGATTTGTTTTTAATGAATATTGAACACTGGTTTATTCCTTCATAGAGCTACTAGCAGTGGGAGGACTTATATCTGGAATTCATCACAATCTGTTAAAAAGTAAAAGAAAATTAAGTTTTCTGGAAACTCCAATCTATGAAATTGGCTATAAATGTTAATGTGAAGCTTTCAGATAAATTTCAGATATATTCTCTTCTAGGACTTGCTTATGGACCTCAATTTTGATAACCCAAACTGCTTATGTGCTGGAATTGTGCCTGTGCTTAGCAGCTCAAGAAAACTGCTGCATACTTGTCACTTCTGCCCAGCTCCTCAAAATGGTAATAGTGAGTGATTGTATATGGTAGGCAAGTATTTTTCAAAGATCTGCTTTCCAGTTTGTTGTTTCATGAGCACCAGGTAACACTTTTTCTTCTGTGCAAATATTTTTTTGCTAGTCAACTCTGTACCCAATGAACTGTAAGAGTAATACTGGCCAAAATCCATATGCTGTTTCAGATAGTTACTGCTTCTAAGTAATCAATTATTTTGGAACTGAAATCCTAATTCAGGTGTTGGTAAAACGTGAGGCAAATATATAATACGTCTGTGAACCAGAAAAAGCAACTATCATTCTGCCTTGTCAGCCCCGCAGTGTTTCACATTGGTATTCTGGAGAAAACTCCTACAGACAATTTAGGCATTTTTATAAATCACAGGAAATTTAGGACAGAAAATTAATTGAATGAACAGTGAGCAGTTATATGATCAATCCATGCAGGACTCCAAAGAAATTATTTGCCATTGTAGGAGGCTGGGAGCCACCTTTTTGCACAGGGGCAATTTTCTTCTAATTTGTATGGGGCTTAAATCAATCTAAAAATCCACAATTTTGCAGTTCTTCAATCATTTGTAAGCAATCACAAAGATAGCAGGACAGGCTCTGATGAGCATTATGCAGCAATAGATAATGCAGTTAACCACCGGGGCTTTTTATCCTTTCATCCTACAATTTGGGTGCTACTATTCAATAGGATGGGCATTGTGGTCCTGCTTTCCGGAGCCATGAACAATGCAAGCTGAAAGGTTGCAAAGGTGTCTGTCTCACCTTTATTTAAATTACAGTGGTTGGAATCAGAATCTCACCTACTTAGAATGAAAATAGTGGAATGGTTCTTGAAAACGGCCTTCTTGTAAAAGCTGCATGTGTCTTTAAGATGCAGAATGCGTGAGTCTGTCTCTTAGGCCATGTGCCTGTCTGGGGATTATGGTGCCTCAAGTACTACAAGATTTAGCAGTTTATATACCCTGCTGAAAGACAGTTTGCTGTCTGGCTTTGGCTTTACAAACGTATATTGGAAATTACTCTGTTCAAGGCATTTGGAGACTCACTAAATATTGTCCTTGTTGCTCCTAAGTGGAATCATAACCATCAGTAAAGTCCCATATTTTAGGCTTTTGGAAAGTCAAGAATTATCAGCAGGCACAGAGCTATTTAGTATTCAGGGAATCTTCTGAGTCTCACTCATTTAACCTGTGACGTGCTTTACTTAGCATTGGTGTCATGGAATTCCATCCCCTTCATAAGTGGAATGTTGGAAGTTAAACTTGTCTCATGAAGTTGAACGGTGCCATGATACTGACAGTTAAAATTGAGGAATTTCTTTTAAAAAAAAAAAAGGAGTTCAAAAGAAGTTTTGAATCACTGAAAGGACCCTCATTTCTGCATTTCCCTTTTTTCATTTAGCCAAAGACTGATGAGCCATCTTTCCTTCTGTTTCTAGGGGAAGTGATAAGGGACTGCTTCCCATGAGAGGGATTGCCAGATGCATGGTTTGGTGTAACAAAATATGTTTTAGCCTAGAAAGCCTGGTTCAGCACGTGACTTTGATTCTCTGGAGGCCAGACTCTGACACAAAGGATTCTGTGGAAAAATGTCTGATATTTAAGACTAGCAAAAGTTGAAAGTTGGTTGCAAAAGAATAGTGGGAATTTTAAAGAGAAAATTGGCTTGGAACTGTGTGATGTTGCTTCTTGTGTGAGATACTGTCATCTGCTTGCTTGTACAGATGACACTTCATGTACACCTCCAAACTGATTACTCTGTGGATGTGACAAGGGTATACACCTGAGGGAAAGGAGGTATATACCTTATTATCTAACCAGCCTCCTGTATGAGTTAATAGCTGTTTATGTAACAGTCTTATTTTTAAGCAGTGCTTGTGAGAATGTCTGCTTGTATTGGATCAGTTGGATGTAACGGAGATGGAAGGAACCTGAGAGGATGAGAAGGCATGGGGGGAATCCCAAGAGTATGAAAACAGCTCAGTGGTGAGCCAGGGAGCAGACTGGACTGGTGCAGGATAATTTATGATGCACTGAGACCCTAATTACTCTTTGCTGGGTTAAAAACTGGCTGGATGGCCAGGCCCAAGAAGTTTTAGTGAGTGGAGTTAAATCCAGTTAGTGGCTGGTCACAAGTGGTGTTCTCTAGGGCTCAGTACTGGGGCCAGTTCTGTTTAATATCTTTATCAGTGATCTGGACAAAGGGATCGAGTGCACTCTCTGTAAGTTTGCAAACACCAAGTTGGGCAGGAGAGTTGATCTGCTTGAGGGTAGGAAGGCTCTACAGAGGGGTTTGGACCGACTGGAACAATGGGTTGAGGCCAGTTGTGTGAGGTTCAACAAGGCTGAGTTCTGGGCCTTGCACTTGGGTCAAAACAACCCCACACAACACTGCAGGCTTGGGGAAGAGTGGCTGGAGAGCTGCCTCGCAGAAAAGGACCTGTGGGCATTGGTGGACAGCAACTGAATATGATCCAGCAGTGTGTCCAGGTAGCCAAGATGGCCAATGGCATCCTGACTTTTATCAGCAATAGTGTAGCCAGCAGGACTAGGGCAGTGATTGTCCCCCTGTACTCAGCACTGGTGAGGCCACATCTTGAACACTCTGTTCAGTTTTGGACCCGTCACTGCAAGAAAGACATTGAGGTGCTGGAGCATGTCAAAGAAGAGCAATGAAGCTGGTGAAGGGTCTAGAGCACAAATCCTGTGAGGAGAAGCTGAGGGAACTGAGGTTGTTTACCCGGGGAAGACCTTACTGCTCTCTGCAACTACCTGAAAGAAAGTTATAATGAGGTGGGTGTCAGTCTCTTCCCAAGTAGCAAGTGATAGGATAATAGGAAATAGGCTCAAGTTGCACAAGGGGAGGTTTAGACTGGATATTAGGAAAAATTTATTCACCGAAAGGGTTGTCAACATTGGAACAGGCTGCCCAGGGAGGTGGTTGAGTCACCATCCCTGGAGGTCTTTAAAAGATGTGTAAATGTGGTGCTTAGGGACATGGTTTAGTGGTGGGCTTGGCAGTGTTAGGTTAACAGGTCTTTTCCAGCCGAAGTGGTTCTTTGAGTCTATTGCTCTCTACAGCTTCCTGAGGAGGCAAAGTGAGAGGGAACTGTTGATCTTTTCTTTCTGATATCCAGGGATAGGATGCATGGGAATGGTTCAAAGCTGCTCCAAGAGAGGTTTAGGTTGGACATTAGGAAGCATTTCTTTACTGAGAGAGTGGTCAGGCACTGGAACAGGCTTCCTAGAGAGGTGGTCGATGCCCCAAGACTGGCAATGTTTATGAGGCATTTGGACATTGCCCTTAATAACATGCTTTAACTTGGTCAGCCCTGAATTGGTCAGGCAGTTGGACTAGATTGTTGTAGGTCCCTTCCAACTGAAATTTCTATTTCTAATTCTAATTCTATTCTATTCTATTCTATTCTATTCTATTCTATTCTATTCTATTCTATTCTATTCTATTCTATTCTATTCTATTCTATATGCGTGTCTGGGGAAACAGACAGAAGAGAAGGTGTGATTTTTCTGCGAGTATGTTTGCAGGGATGAGTGGCCCAAGAGGTGAACACAGTGATGTGAGGGAAGTCACAGAGTTAGGGTGTTCTTGAGAGGAATGGGCTTTGCCAATTTGAAATAAAAGATACAATCATAAAATAGTAGCTATAGCATAAATATTTGAATCTTTGCCCACCATTTTACGTCTAAGTTCCCACACGTCATCTTGCCAGCATCAGTAGGGTTTTCTTGCTGTATTTTGTGCAAGAAAGCTAGAGCCCCTAGCCAGGGAAATGAAGAGGCACTGTTTTGTGTCCCATTGATATTTTCCATTCTTAGTACCAAGGAGTTCCCAGGATCACCCTGAAGACTGCAGTTTCCTTAACATTAGTCCCTGTTGTTACATGGGCAGAAAGAAGGAAGGTAC